TTGCTTTTAGCTCCCAGCATTTTATCACCTTAACTTCTTTATTATGGATTACGCTAAGCACGCTTTTGTACGGGATTTATGTATCAAATGGACCTAAGTGAGCGATCATATTTCAGTTTTCTCAAGCTTTATGTCAACGATCACTGCACCCCAGTGTAATTCTGAACGTTTAGTTCCGATCTTTTTTAATTTTACACTGATGTAATTAATCGAAGCATTCATCTCGGCAGACGTTTGATAGATGATCCAGATATATTTTGATTTCATCATATTCACCCCAAACCATCGTACTGGACGTGTCAAGCACTTGCTTTATGCCGTGATAAATTATTGTTCATTGTTCAAAGCATGATGCAACTGATCGAAAGATTTGGTCAGGATAGGTACGTGTCATGTTCGTGGATGGGGGGCCTCGGAATTCCCCACACCTGTGGCTGGATGCTTTGTCAGGCACGCAGCCAGTAGCGCTACTGAATTCGCTTTCTGACATCTAGCTGTTAATTCTCCTTCCATCGCGATTACTTTAGTGCTCTGCTTATAATTGTCATTTATTTTTATCCTAGCGACGTGAATCATCATAACTAGATCCGTGGCACTTCAGTTTCCCGACTACATAAACTGCACCGAACTAAACTGGCACAAACACAACCGAGCGAACATTAACACACACACTGGAGACTGGGAAGCTAGGAAAACGAAAGAGGCCATAAACAAGCACGGGTATTATGAGCGAAATTAAACAGCGTAACGCAAGCACCACAGAACGAGCTGAGAGCGGATCGCGAGCGAATAACGGTAGGAGGCCTGAGATAAAGGGAACAGCGAAGTTATTGGTCGAAAGGTCAACAAATCAGTCAAAAACGCCTTTATCAGTTCATCTAGGCGCAACTCAATGCACGTAATGCAACCGCGACCAAGCAATTCAAGTGTCTTAAAAAATGTCCATTCTAGTCAAAGTGCGATTTACAGAAGCGAAGATACAAGGTCAAACAGACAGTAAAGATTTATCAGGTTGGGGCAAAATGACGCACTACTGTGACAAAAAGTCATTCCTTGGGTATGGTGCGTTGTGGGATGGAAGAGGACAAATATGTGTGGGACAGGGGGAGAGCTTGGTTAACCGACGCAGCGTGCAGAATAGATTATACTTTCTTCACGCTTCTTACAAGCCACAACAGCATCTTAAAGATAAAAGCCAAACACTATGGCTCACAGTTCGTTTGAAGTGGTTACTCTCCAAAGCTCTTGTGTTAATTTTGTCCTCGAGCATCCATCCGTTTTTCAGTGGTCTATCAGACTGTAGCTTGCTCACATTGAGGAGTCCTCAATTTTCCCGCTGAATAACTATACTTTTAACCACTGATGGACGTTGCCGCGCATGATGAGACGATTGTAAGTGAATCGCATTTGATGCTTCCGAGCGAAGCGGATGGCATCTAACTTGACTTGTTGTGGTTGGGCCCGGTGACATCGCGGTTCTACCCGCTTGGCTTTAAGAACTCTGTTGTTTAGACAATTCCGCTGGGCAACAGACAGTAGCGGTAACTATGATGGAGGAATGTTCAGTGAGGGGCATGATGCGTTTCTAGTGAACACTAACTGACCGATAGAACGTGACTTACGACGCCTAGGTATAAATTTCAGTTAGTTATGAATGAGTTAAACGTATGGGAAGACCGGTGAGCAATCTATACTAGCCAGATCAAACCTGACCTCTCAATGTGGCATTCCGTCAAACAAAATACCTTTGGTGTGAGCAGATGAAATCTAGATATGTTTCGAGTCACAAGCTGCTCCAATCCATGAGGACAGATAGTGGCCTGAATAGCTTTCGATGATATCTAGACTTGAAACTGAAAGCGAAACTGCTTTGCTCATGCGGAATATTGGAGGTCCGTGGTGATGTGACCATATATTGAGCAGAACTGATGAAGGTGACAGCACCACGGCTGTTGCTTTCCATTGGAGCGAAGACAGACAGGCTGGCTGTGTTGACAAACATCAGCCTCATTTCGACACGCACCACAACTGTCCGAATCATTCTAGGATACAAGTCAGACAACGCCCAATCCCGTTCTATGTTCGAGTTATCTGGAATGGCGGAGCTCTTGAACAAAGCGAATTGCAGTGACCTGGTTGGTACAAGCGAAAGGTCCTTGAATCTTGCAAGATACCAGTGCCTGCGTAAGATGTGATGGCTTGGATCTGGCGGTCGATGTTTAAGGAGCGTTGCGCAAACCTTGGTCGACAACTGACACCACACATGCGGGAGGAATGTTACGTATACTGAGGCAGTACATAAGACACATTACTTGGACTTCTTGGAGGAGGAATGTTAGAAACTTTATCCTAGCGCAATTTCTTGCGAGACGAAATTGATAACCGGTGATGCTACATATATTCTTAAACCAGACATCAAACTGAGGACTACTGGAAAGCTACAAGAGACACATTCGTTGCCAGGTGGGTCGCTCAAGGCAATAAACGGTATATATTTTGGACAATTCATTATCAGGCTAATAAAGTTATATACTGATCAAATCAATCTGACAGACTAATGAGGTCGTTAAAGGGTGAAATCACTACTTTGAATCCTCGGTAAATGCTGTTGCTTAGATCAATGTCTCGGCCTATACACGATTCCACTGAGTAAAGGTTATACAGCAGTTACTCTGTAAGTGTATCAAACGAACAGACTAGTTCTGCTCGACTGGCTAGATTATGGGTTAGTTTTCGTCGCAACTTTGCAATCACAAAGTTGCGTAAGTTGGTGTACTGGCCTTATCCATAGACGTGATGAGGTAGCCAACCGCTATGGAGTCTCATAAGATCCATGTCAAGAAAGTAAAAACAACCATGTTCTGCGGCCTTCTCGGTGCAATGTATCGTTTTACGGGCTTGGTTAAAATTCAGAAAGACAAAATGGCAAACGAGCTTGTTTTCAGAGTTTCATCATCAGGCTAATGCGACCACAACAGAGCAGGCTAGAATGAACACAAGAGGTCGAAATGCGATGAGTTACTGAAGTAAAATATCCAATCGATAAGACTAAGTAACTGGTTTGGTTGATATGCCGTTGCATGAAGTGACGTGACCGCCATTATAAATCATGCTTGCCTGTGGCTAAGGTAATGTGAGAGTTTGGACGAATAATTTCCGTGTACACAGATACGAGTTTTGGAGCCTAATTGCGATCATCTGTTCTGTCGACAGCTGGAGACTTCTGGCTGCTCTCATGTAACTTCCGGGTACATAGTAGACTGATGTGAAGGCATCATGCGAATTGATTTGATAGTCGGAGTCTACTAGTTGCGATAGAACTGCACACGTTAGATTCTTTCTCACACAGCTGTAGGGCCAAGCTGTGCAATGCTCTAGAGTTCTAACGCACAGTCGCCTGGTCGTTTACCTAATACACTTTGCTCGACACGAGCAACAGAAACTGTACACAGATCAGCAGCAAAATATCTTCTCAGTTAACTTTCACCTCAACACCGATTGTGTGCCAACAACTCAAGGACAAGATACCCCATTCGTAGATTTCCTTCTATGCGTGCAATTTCTATGGCTCGTGTCGAGCAAAGTATATCGGGAAAGCGACCAGACGACCTTTCGGAAGTTACATGAGAGCGATCAGATGCCTCCTGCTGTCGACAGCAGAGACGATCGCAATTAGGTTCCATAATCTAGACTTGTGGGCACAGAAAATATTTGTCCAAACTCACACATTATCTTAGCCACAGGGTAGCATGACTTACGATAGCGGTCATGTCACTTCACGCGACGTCACATCAACCAAACCAATTACGTAGCCTTATCGATCGGATACTGTGCTTCAGTGACTCACCGCATTTGGATCAGTTGTTTTCACTCTAGCCTGCTCTGTTGTGATGAAATTGGAAACAAGCCTGTTCGCTATGTTTGTGTTGTTTTCTCCTGGAAGTGCCAACCCAAGAATCCCATCGGTTAATGTTGTCTATGAAATTTTTAATAAGTTGAGGGGTGCAACATCAAGATGTCATTAAGATAAGGTAAGTAACAGCTATGACTTGCAGTGGCTGATGTTCAACTATCATGTGCAAGCCTCACCATGAAATCACTGGTGAGCACCAGCCCAAGTGAGGAACTCATCGCCATTCCATCTCGCTGCCGGTATATCTCTTCGTCAATAAGTAAACTGGCCGGTAAACGTTACTTCATCCCATGTAGCAGGATACAATGGTCGTACGACTAAATGTCTATCCGAGAAAGTAAAGGTGCACCGTCCGCCATGTCCAGTAGCTAGAACCAGGAGGACTTGTAACTCCTTCATAGCTACCCCCTCGCCGACACATGGTACAACGATAAAGCAGCTGACGCATTCACAATTATCTACAAGATTCCCGAAAATCGCCCGGGGGATGCACGCTGACGGATATTAGGGTCTGATGCAGCTATTGCGGCACGGTTGCACGAATCAAATTTGTGCACTCAGAAGCGGTTATTTCAGGTCTGACGGTTGACTGGCCCGATCGACCCGGGACATCTGCTCAGTGGAACTGTGTGTCTAGACCGAGATATTGACCTAGTCAACGTCAATTATCGATGAATTCAAAACGGTAGTTTCATCTTTCTGCCATTTCATTATTCTGTCAGGTTTGATTTGGATATAACGATGCTGGCCTGATGAAAAATTATCGAGAAGATATGCTTGTCTACATAGACTATATATATATATATATATATATATATATATATATATATATATATATATATATATATATATATATATATATATATATATATATATAATACTCAGGACCCGTTTCGTTGCGGACAACAGACTCCAACACATTCCGCGACTGCGCACCTACGGGACTGAATCAGAGGAAATATAAAATCACTCCGTTCTCGACCAATATACACAGGCGCTTAATCCGATTACTTATGGGCAAGAAGTGTGCTCCTAAAAATGATATAAAATCTTGTATTTCATGTAGTCGATAATAAATTTGACTCACTTGCTCTCCAATCAGCAGCACTGGTTTCGACTGTTTTGCGATGGTATGGACCAGAAACTCAGTCCGTGTGTTGTCCACATTTGGAACTAATATGCTAGTGTATTCCGGCGTGTAGTCTTTTGGATAAACGTATTGCGGAACAAGAGCCTCCCAGTGCATCCACTCCCCATTCGCGTTGACCACATACTCAAATATCGTATCGTCCGTTCGGCAAGTGGGTAGGGGCAGTGTCCCGCTGGCTTCTAGGTGGTTTTGTAGTTTCAAACGATCATCTAACTCCAGTACAGCACCTAGGGACCACATGGCTGCGAAAGCGATCATGCGTTGCACAAAAACCTGGCTAACTTCCTTCTCTCCTGCCTCCAGCAATAGTCCTTCCAGAATGTCGAGAGCTTGTTGAATGTAGTTGCAGTGAAGAAGCTGAAATCGGAACAAAACGTAAATAAGCACACCGTTCGTCAACTGCAGAATATGCTTCGTGGTTGAAGAAATAATTGAGGAACTGTTTGCGGTGCAGGGAGGCAGTCACTGTGGAGCTCACAGACATGTTGGGTTGTCCCACCATAAAAACAGTGATGCCTATTATTCCCAATATTTTAACGTGATTTGGACCCTCGCGAGAAGGTAGAGTATGGGTGTTCAAACTGTGACTTCAAGAATGCCAGATGGACGTCTTGTTCACTCGACCGAGTCGGTCACACCAATGACCACTGTAAACAAGATCGAAACTGATCAGCGCTTGATGAAATTGGTTGAATAATTCAATGTAACCGAACTGACACGCACCCTAACATAGGGGAAGCCATGTTGGCTGTTGGAAACATGTTCCTTTTACATAGAGTGAGGAATTCGAAATCTAAGACAGTGAGTGCCTAACCTATGTGAAAAGCGTCGTTGGCGGAGCTCGGTGACCTAGCGATAAGGTTGTTTACCAAGAAACCGTGACAGTTTCTATCTGAAACACAAATTCATTTATCTGAACTGGAAGAGGGCTTCAAGCAATGTTGGAGTACGGCACTGAGAACAGACAACAGGAAAAAGGATCACTGACCAGCAAATAACCAATGATCTTATCACATGCGCATCCCTGGGATTAATTTGTCATATTAACTGCGCAAGAAAAGTAAACCGTGTTTTGAGGCCAGTGCATTCGTTGCGTCCGCTTAGGTCATCAATATGCCATTCAAGTGTAGCAGCCAGTGTTTACATGGTGACAAGCATTGCTATCGGCTATCCGGGTTAAAAAAGTTCATGCTCTACCCACCAATTTACTAGGTATAACGTTCTTCATCAAGTGTGCATATTACAAAACCTCGTATATCTCGTCTCAAATAAACTCCAGTTTTACTAATCGTTACTATCGTGCTTTGTCCGCCCATAGGAAAAAGCGTCCCATAATGAGAGCTCACTGTACAGAGGAAAGATCAAAGCACACAACGAAATCGCTTTTCCTATTGGCGAATGCTTACCTCCATTTTTGGTACCAGTGACTCCGTGACGAACCGAGTGGCATCTCCAAAAAATGAGGCGAACGTGTCGTAAATCACATCGCGTACAGAGGGCGATCTTGTGCGCAGCCATCCTGTCGTGCAAAACAAAGAAGTTAACCAAAACACTGCGGGATCCCATGCATTACCGATGAATGGATTGCTTCCACTTCTGAGCACAAAAAACAACATGGCTTAACAAGCTGTCAATTCACACCCAATCCAGTTTGTATACTCACAGCTATCCATCATTGCTTGCTTTTGGCCATTTGTGTATACTGAAACTAATACTTGGTCCTATGAAGTACCTATTACCAGGTTGTGCCTTTCTGTTTTGAGACAGATTGAACAAATCGAATAACTAGAGATATCGGGAAGAAAGAAAGGCTTTGCTGCCTTCCATAAATGGCTCTGGGTCTTCATGTTTGTTTAAACTGAAGAACTATGAGAAGCATAGTATTTCGCCGTCAACAAACGGGGAGGAACTTCGGAGTATCCGTAACCCGACATACTATGGCACGAAAGCAACCTTTACTGGCTAGTCCCCAGAGAGTAGAAGTATCTTGAAAGCTATCACATGTATTTTGCTAATGAAGCATAAAGGCCGTTATGCCGTGTATATATATCTGAGGTCCTATTCCGTTGCAGTCGCCTTCACCAACTAACATTTACCAGCATGCCTTATACCTGCTATCTGCGCACATTGTCATAATTACACCCATACTGGCTCCGCCTGTGGACACCTTGAGTTAATTAATGCACCTCGTCCGTGTTCTCCGCCTAACTCGGGCAACCATAGCTCGTGTGAGTGAAATTTGGTTGACTTTCTCTTCGCTGATCCCGTATGGGTTCAGTGCACCCCAACAACCATCTACAACCACAAGCTCTACAAATAAAACCTGTTATTGCACTGCCTACGAAAACGAGAGTTACTGCGTAAATATTACCGGTTTAACAAGTATGCAGGAAGTTCGGTTCAAGGCCGGTCTTCAATGCTTTCCGATCGAATCCTAAATTGGTAAAATCATTTCCTATTCTATGAGAACTTCTTTGTTGGTCACATCACCAGCTTCACACAATATAACAGACTACCAAACACCAGTGTGAACCTTCCGTGGGAAACGCGCGGGACCGAAATTATGCCGCAGTCACGATAAAATGTTGTATCCGTCGCTAAAATGTTACTTGTGGAGGTGTGAGCTACTTTTTAAGTGGTAAGAAATCTTATGTATAGTGCAGAGTAACTCACAGCTAGAGGAGTATTAAGCTATCCTTGTGAAGTTCTCTCATTTTGTGTCCTTTGAATGATCAGCGATAATTCTGTCCTGAAATTATACATAACCCACTAGTACCTCTAGATGGGTTAAATGACATAAGGAGTCTGGACCATGTTTTACACTGTGACTAGTCTGAAAATCGTTCCAACACACCACAAACATGTTTTGATGCACATTAGTGCATGTTGATCTGTCTAAACGCCATGCTTGGAGTGGAGGTAACCAGTCATAGTGACTAAGTGTATTTGAGTGTCGTTTCTGACCGTTAGAAATGATATTCTCCTACCAACCAAAACAAAAATGGTTTGCCTTGTATGCACCGAAGAAAAAATTGTACATTAGTACCCTCGTCATTTAAACCGATGTTCTGTTATTTTTTCTTTGCAGGCCAACGAATATGGAAACAGGGTCACGTCTAGTAATGTGCTTGTGTTCAATATGTTGGAACATATTTGGAACCGATCGGGAAGTCATCATTTCAGAAAACTTGGTGAACGACCGGTTAATGTATTTACGATGATACATGGTGTATCATCGTAAACACATTAACCGGTCGTTCACCAAGCTTTCTGAAATGATGTGCTTGTGTTCCAGTGCGAAACTGCTGTCACCAGTCGTGTCTTTATGGGTGCCTGTACTCCTTTGGCGTACATATGCAAATTAATTGAGAACCAAAGTGGTCCACGGTGATTGGGAGCAAAGTCTATAAATCAGCACGACTAGAAACCTTTCGTGCTAAATAAAACGTGTGTAATTGCCCAACAAATGACATACTTTAACAGGACACACTGAAGAATTTAAAGCTAAGTAGAAAAAGCCATCATGACATACCCACTTTAGGAATGAAGCCTACGCAATCAACTCAGCGCGAATGTGCAGTAGTATCGTCGTGATTCAGTAGAACACGGTGTTTCAATTAGTGCTACATAACTAGTTGCTGTTTCAAAGAGTACGTGTTTCAGCGTTCTGGAAGCGAGAGTGAGAACGAAGTGGAATGCATGCAGAGAGATGGCTACTGAAATTCCAGCTGACTCAATTACAGCACCGTGATGATGCGGTAGATGGAGTTAAGGTTGTAGGGTTTAGAATATTTTAAGTGAGGTTAGGAGTTATCGATCCATGTTAAGAGATTACCGCTGTATTCACTACGTAAGCGCAGCATACCACCATAACAAATATCATGGGACCTACTCACCTTTAAGAATTGGCTCCCACGTCATTATAGAGCTTGACATGAAAATCATACCGTTGCGGGACACTGTAGCAGGGGACGCATTGTCGATGTTGTGGACCTCAAACAAAATTTTTGCGTTCGCAGCCATGGGAATGCGATCCCCATTTGCAAGCGTCAAAGTTTTGTTATCATCGAGCACGGAGTTTAGGTTTTCAATCCAAATTGCATCGACAGGGCCATCCAGAATCAACCATATGTGTTCATTCTTTTTCAATCTATGCGTTCTTCGCCATAAGGTTGAGAATATTCCGTCCGTCCAGTCATTAGTAGCGACATCCAGGCGACCAAACATTTGAGGCGCAGTGATTGCCTTTGGATTCATTCGCATCTCTCTATGGGGCTCACCCAACTCTGTCATTGTATGCATAAGGGCGTGGATACATTTGGTCTTTCCTGCTCCTGAGGGCCCAAGTGTCATCACACCATGCCGCACACACAACGTCTCATAAAGCTGAACGCATTTCAGAACCCAAGGAGGGTGATATATGAGTCCCATTTCCTCAACCTGTACAAAGGTTCAGATAAGACTCAAATATGCAAAATTGTTGAGCATCGGCGCGACATGGCTTACATGTGCGGGGGTAGCTATGGGTATCAAACCAACTTGACAGCAATAGAACAGCTATGTATCGGATGATAAGTGGCACCCTAACCCTTTCTCAAATGAGTAATGTCCCTATGAATGAATCTGTCTACGGCGACCACCTGTGAAAAGCAACCAGTTTTCGTCGGTCTTTTGAGTGATCGTTTTGAAGAAATCTAATGTGCCAGGTGCACGCCTTAACGGCGCTTCTCTTCCGCGCGACCACCACCGGTCGCGCGTGGGTTCAGTACATCGCGATGACGCCCGCCCCTACGCGGATTCGAACCGGTGACCTTACGGTTGCAAACGAGACACTCAGGCCACTCGTCCAACGGCCGGTAGATGTGACTGTGCTATTGATAGTACGAACGCTCCAGCAAACAGGCAAATATTTTCAGGAGCTAAAATAGCAGAGCAATAAAACTGGTGTCCGCTTCAACAGCTTCCTTAATGACTCGTGCCACAGTTATTCGTGCGCATGTTGACATCTGGAGTGTAGTGAGAACGCTCATTCATGAGACACCCGACGGTGGTCGAATATGTCTTTACTCGCAATCAGCTTTCGATGTATACTTAGAAATTGTACATCCATGGTTTTCCTACTACTTACTTAAAAACCATACGGCTGAACTTGGCTTTCGCTCGCTTCTACAAACCACCAATATGTGGCCGTCGCCGACGCTATTCTCTTCCGTGCTAATAAAGTCAATTACTATTTCTAAGCATCACAGTCATCTGATAGGCGCTTGTAGGTTTGTGACAAATATGTTATCGGGCAACAGGAGAGAAAAGTGGATAAGCAACATCTTTCATTATAACATTTGTTGTGTCGCGGAGAGAAGAAGGGTACAGATAAGAAGTTAACGCGAATTGGATAATATTCAATCCTCGATGCAAATTTTTGCAGATGACGCAAAAATCTGGAGAGTTATTCGCTCAACATCAGACTGTGCCCTCCTCCAGAATGATTTGGATCGAATCAATAAATGGGCAGATATAAACCACCTCCCCCTGAATCCAGCCATGTGTCACCTACTGTCATTGCACAGCAATCTTACCAACACATACCTCTTGGGGCAGTACGTTTTACGGTGCCTGACCGCAGAAAGAGACTTAGGTATCATTGTGCAAGAAAGTCTGGGGAATTCGCTCCAATGTTTGAGAGCAGCAAACGTGGCGAACATGAATCTGAGACTTTTGAGGCGAGCTTTTGGTGTTTTTGAACGACGGTTGGTGCCCATGCTTGTCAACTCCTATATCCGTCCCCACGTCGAATATGCCGTCCAGGCTTGGTGCCCATGGTTAAAACGGGAAATTCATCTCTTAGAGCAGCCCCAACTAAGAGCTACGAAGGCAACACGCGGATTATCTGGTCTCAATTATGAAGTGCGTCTCAGTTTAATCGGAATGTTTTCCTCCGAATACCGACGACTACGCGGAGATCTCACTCTCACATACCGGATATTAACGAAAAGCGATCACCCGTGCAAATCGCTGCTCACCCTAGCCTCATATAAAAGATCGAGAGGTCATAACCTCAAGCTGATAATCCAACACTCCCGATTAGGCTGTAGAAAATATTTTTACTTTCTTAGAATCTGTTCACAATGGAATGACTTGCCAACGCATGTGGTAAACGCTCCGAACATTACAGCCTTCAAACAATTGTCAGACATTCATCTGAGTGACAAACAACACATTGTGGTGTGATGTACTAGGTTTAGGCTATTGGCATTTCAGTTCCATGTCGGAATCTAATGATTTTTATTTATTTTGCATTTACCATCCTATGGGTCTTGTAAAGCCAATGCTTTTTATCCCATCATACACTATTGAACACGCTTCACCCTAATCCACATAGGTCAAGGAAAATTCCTCAGCTAGACTTTGGCGCAGGGGCGGAAACCTACTTGGCGTCGCAAGGCAGCTTCCATTTCCGGATGACCCTTTTGATCCAAGTTGATACCAGGGAAAAGATCTTGAATGAGAGACACAAATAGCGGCTCGTCCTCGTCCACGAGCTTGCTCAAATTCATGTCCCGCAATCCACGCATCACAATCATGACCTCTGAATCCTGGGGGGCTGCTCTCTTGGAAGCACCCAAAGTACGCAGCACTGACAGAATGTTTCGTAGCCCAAAATCATAATGCACCTGATGTATTAAAAAAGAAAACAGAAGGATGTGTTGGATATTAAACTTAGATAAGCTATGATGGCGGTGACAGTGCATGCCATGGCAAGTGATGCAGGTAACTGATTCTGCCGCAAGCAGCACAAACGTTTTGTAAGTCTGCCCGCATTAACGGAGCTGGTGAGGCTATCACAAAACTCAGCTAATGTACGTTGGTCCTCCATGCCACATTCAGACACTAGCAGTCACAATAGCATCCGGGCATTCACACCCGGAACCCATGCAGTCTGAGTAGTTGTGATGGAGTGTTGGAAGCAAAAACCTAGTAGACTGTTCTCACTTTTATGAAGCACTGCTATCTCGACAATTTCAACCCAATTCACCTTATTTGTTTCGCCTAGCCGTTAAAATCCCATACGTGCCGTTTGCTGATATTGCTACTAGGCTTCAGTGCTAAGTAGCTAACGGTTCTACTTAAGTGACATTAGGCTTTAATCTGAATATTATCTAAACATTTTAATTTACTGCATTGCGCTGAGTAACTTTCCATACGTGATACCAACTGAAATGTTATACGAGTTCTACATCACTAGCGAACGCAATGTATTCCTTTAACTATACATATGATTACAGGACCGGAGTTAATTCCGCACAATATATATCACCCTGTGTGCCAAACTATAAATTGCCATATATGTTTAGTTCTTTAATCTGGCGTGAAAGCTTGTTTGCTTTTCCTTGGCCTAAGGGACACGTTACCAACGGCCAGTGCAATCCTCACTAATCGACGTAGCCAAGTATCCCAAAGCTCAACACTTTAAAGAAAGCAAAAGTATAAATCGGAGTTATCTTTAAAAGTGACGTGATGAAGCGTCCCGCTTATCTGAACTCTTCAGAGGCAGACGGTGTTCGAACTGCCTATCCACACAATAAATGGGAGTGACTGATAGCCAGCTAAGTCAACTTGTATTAGCTTTGGACTGCGTATTCTCCTAAGTGTAAGTGATCAGAATTCGCTTGGAAGATTCGAGCAACACGCTTGCACCAGGACCAAATCAACAACAAAGCCGGAACAGGACAACGGCACTATTTACAGACGAAGTATCGAGCATTAGCAACATGAACCACCACAGTAGTGCCTCCAACTCGAGTCAGCTACAATGGCAGAAAATTGGGTCCGAGAGCAAATTAGCTAAACTTCAGAGCTACAAAGGTGAAATGTGACGACACACAAGTGCACAGCGTTTTTATACGGTTGGGGAAATGTGTGGATTGACTAATTACACGGATAAAGCTCGCGTTGTGTGAAAGTTGTTGCTCCAAAGTCAATCTATTTGAGGTATTCAGCAAAATAGTCACTTTTCTAAGGTGGAGAGTTTCGGAATGACTCTCAACACTTCACTCCAGTATAGACAAGTTTCGTTCTGCGAGTGTAGCCCGACCCATAGTGGTTGACAGCTTACGTCTTGGCCACTTAACTAAAGCTTAGTCAGCCGTGCTTGGCAGAGGGTCTAGGAGTACATTGTTTGGTCTTGGAGTACTCAATATATTGGAACATATTTGTATCACCATATTTGTATCACCATAAATACATTAACCGGTCGTTTACCAAGTTTGCTGAAATGATGGTCTTGGAGTACCCAATACTCGCGAACCTATGGTTTAATGATTAAGGCGCCAGTCGTCAACCAGTATGGGTTGGGTCCTGCTCTCAGCTCAGGCTATAACAACATCAAGTGTCCAACTCACGACGAAGACGGTCTGCCATGGAGTTCAGTGTTGGGAGAGAGCATCTCCGTAACTCTCCACTTCGGACGCGGCCCTAGTGATTAAAACGGTTGGGGTTTGCTCCAAACTAAACCGTGGCCTCAATCGTGATTGCGTGTCGCAATTCACACACACGGTAGATGATGCAAGAACCTGCAATGGTCAATGATCCACTACTGGTGAATTAGGGGAAAACAAACTATGGTAATAGATGCGGAACAGACGATAATTACCTACTCGGAATATGATGTAGATTCACGGGATGAAGATCGTGGAATGACGAAGTGAACTGTGCACCCAAGGAAGGTCAATTTAAATCGATTAATAGGAAATTGCACGGTACTCAACTTAAGATAGGCATACCGTTTCCCGCAGTGACGGGATGAGAGGTTGGGAAAGGCGTTTGTGAAATATAAGCAAATTTCAGGGTTAATAGCTTTACACAAAGGAAGTAAACACTGAAGGAATGCGTAGTCAGGGCATTCGATAATCGTGTAGGCCAAGTACCTCTCGGTGGACATCCTAAAGATATTACTTTAAATAAAGGTTAGTAAACAGTCACAGCTGCATAAAGAGGTAATATCTTGCTCAGTCGTGTGACTTACTTGTTTTGACAGCTGTTCCTCACACAGTTTGTAAAGAGTGAAGAATTTCTTGGCTAGATCCACGTTATTCAAAAATCCGCACGCGGCTAACTTGACCCGAATGATTATGGCCCGATCGGGCACCATCATGGCCACCGTGCGAAAATTGATTTTCAGATTTTCCGGTAGTTCTTGTCTACCAGCGTAGCCAGGATTCTGAGAGGAGAGAATTATTACTCACTTACACGACACTGAATGAGGCGACATGAAATTGGGGCTCAACCGGTGCAAGCAGTGGTTACATGTAATACTTTTTTACTGGAGTTAAGTGGCAGTATTTTGTAGGTTGCACAATTTGTGAAGCAGCAGTACTTACAATGATACTGCTTGTTCCACCAAAGAGGATAAATGCAGCGCAACAGGTATGTCGCGAAGGAGACAAACCCTTAGGGCAGGAGTCTCCAAAGCGCGTTAGTTAACTGACAAAGTGACTGTCGTCGGCTGAAGAATACAATATGCATAAATGTTGCAAGCCAGCAAGAAAGTTCTCGGGAAATAGACCAAGGAAACCTGACATTGGGTATCTACTATTATTTTCTTAGTAGCCATGAAGGATGCAATAAACAGGATCTGAACATAAAAACATTGTGAATAACAACCTAGTAAGAATACTTATGAAATAGGAGAAAAACAGAGGGCTATGGATCATTACCGTGACCCACCACCATGGTGGAACTACGACTCACCCAGGTTACACACAAAGTTCATGGGCAACTCCGGTAGTAGAATATACAACAAAGTTTATATATATACATATATATATGTGGATAAAATCGTGGTAATCTTGCTTAATTGTATAGCGTGGTATTTTTTAAATAACTCGGACATTTTTACTTATCGCGTATTCACATTTAACCACCTTCTTCTATATGGTCATTTAGCGAGTATTTATGTCGTCATATGCGTTTACTTTATTCCATATCGGCATTTTGAGTGAGTGGCTGTTGTTTGACATCCCAGGTGTGGCTGCGCTTGATGTGCATGTTGACAAGGTGCCTACCTGTCAATTACCTACTACCTCGTCCATACTGGCTCCAGGAGACAGTTAGTCGTTGTTAGAGGGGACGGGGTGCACAGTCCTTGTGGTCGTGCTATGCTCGAAGAGTGATTCCATGCACTCAGTGTGGAGCGGACTACGGTCCAGCCACCGCCTTATGTGCGCTTGATACCCCAAATACAGCGTGCTTGTGTTTGTCTGTGAAGGAGTGTGGGCCGGCTCCGTTGATGAAACGTGGCTCCCATCCACATGCCTCCCGGTCTTATTCCTTCGGGTTTACACTGGATATGGGGTGTGTGGTTGGAGCTGTGGGTGGTGCAGCGCAAGCCATCCATGGTCCCTCTGTAGGCGCAGGCGTCCTGTGGCTGGCCACAGTGACAGGCAAATCGGAAACCGGATGCCGCCAGCCATATACACGTGTCATTTTCCACATCATACTTTGAAGTATTCATGCCTCCGAGTGAAAAAGTTTCACCAGAGCTACCGGGATAGACGACGTAACAAGTCCGTGCATGACATTGTAGCGATCCATAGGGTACGAAGACCGTTAAACCTCGAGTAAAAGGGCTTCCTTGTTTCCTCTTACCTTCCCGTTTTGCTTACACCCAACAACCGTTCTTGTCTTCACCATCCACTCGGCTCACGCTCGCTAACCTGGGCATTTGTGAAGACTGCATCCAATTCGACACTACGTGTTCTCCCCTTACAAGTTTCATTTACTGTGGCCTCTTACTAGGTGGTTGTGACATGTTAGCCACGGATTAGACTTGTTTAAAAAAGTCGCACTTGTAAGAATGCTGGATTTCAGAATCACCGGTAGACTACCGTATGCACAAAATCTGATTGTCAAGATTGTATTGCCCTTCAAGGATCGAGCGACCGTAGGAAATACTTCATACGTTAAACGGGAATTTCAAGAACCACGGTTTGTAAGTTCCAAAAGTCCGGTCCCTCTACTCTGTTAATGATGGATTTAGGGTCCCTCCTTCGGGTTTGAGGTTGAGCGCGCAAAATTGCCAACTGTCCAAAAGTAGATGTTACTCCATCTCAAACTGCCTCACCCGATCACATGGGTGTGAATGACCGGTGATAGCCGTATGCCTGCTTCTGGGTACAGGTGTACTTGCCAGTCTCGTCCATCGTGTAAAGGCTGGATCATGCGCGAATGGTTGAGTTGGAGTCAACTACGGCACGCCACAAGGCAAGTTCACCATTCGATATATACGATGTGTATGGCTGGTTGTAACGGAGACAGGTGTGTAAATTCGAAACAAGGGTGCCTCATTACCCGGCTACTGCGGTAGAATAGTGGTGGGGCTTGCGCAGACGTAACTGGCCTGAGCAAGGAATGTTCGATAGGTGCCTAGTTTTATCCCAGCTAATGACAAAAGTGTTACTGGCAAAGCTCTTGTAGACAGTAAGCTTCCAATAACACACCTTAGCAAAATATGCATTCCTTACCATTAGGCCTTGCAAATATGAAATGTGAGGTTTTGAGCAAAGAGTCTTAAAAAGCTATGCCACCTAAAGTCTACTGCCTGCCCCATAGCCTATTCTCCCGACGCAGTATTGATCGCCGCCGCAGGAAACAAGTGTGGTTACGCTGCCCAATTTGTTTCACGCGGGACCATGAGCCTTAATTCCAACATCTTCACTGATGTGGCTATACTCCATTAGCACGGAAATGAGAAGCTGCATTTCAAGGCAATATCTAATCCTTGCGGATACTGTGAACCACGTATTGCACAAAGCGCGAAGCTCAATGGCTCGAAAAAGTGAATGACAAAGCGTTTCATTACCCATGTGTTGTAACTAATCTCAAGAGAAAGAAGGTCAGATTATGTCAGTAGTAGTGTCCTCAAAGTCCCACCACGCAAAGGTTTGTGGCAAGATTTAACCGCGCAAATGAACGTCCAGCCATCACATGTGGGCATGTTTTAGGTCATTCAAAGAGGGAAAAGTGTACTAGGAAAATAAACGGCGTGACCTGTCTAGCAATAATGTAAGTAAAATTGCTCATACTTAGCCTATGGTGCGCTGAGGTTTTTGGTAGCTAGATCTTGACAGATGGTCTACTCACTGCTGCTAATGTTGCACCATTGGCTTATGTCCTGGACGCCTTCTCGTGGCGACCGCTGGGTGGGAGTTGGGTTGCATCTTTCGCCCCGCTAAGAACCAGGACATCAATCCGCATGAGTAAGTGAAGTGACCATGTGCTAGAGCCGCTGCCTTTCGTGTGTACATTTAATCGAATGCTTTGGCTGAGGACCCGAGACGTCCTCCTGTCAGGTGTGGGCGTCCTGCCAGTATCTTAGTCCATCCTCATCGGAGGTTAGGAAGCGGTCGATGGCTCTCTTCCAGTAAAATCTAGCCATGGGAGACAATAGGTCTACTGGTTATAAGCTCACAGCTCGATTAGTGTAGAGCACGAGCGCCATGCATTTTATCTGACGGTGGAAGGGTACCTGCGGGTGCTCGATGGTTTGCTACTGCCAGCCTCAAGCCAGGCAGCCCCTGGTCAAATTGGTGCAAACCCGCCAAAACCCACCTGCGTCTGGCCGTGGTCGCAAATACGTATTCTACTACGGTCGCAAAACACATGTGAATAGTTCCAGTATCTCCAAGTCTGCGTGTGACTGACCTCAAGCAGATCCCAATCTGTCTAAGCAATCATATTCCCGAGCTAGATCTGCACCTCAATGCCTTGTCGGTCAGACTAATGAGCCAAAGGCTCCGGGTAGAATCCCTCAAGCGAACCTTCAAAGCACCCACTGCCTTGTGGGTCAGGTTATTGACTGAAAAGCTCCGGGCGTAGTACCTCAAGCAAACCTCCGCAGCACAATCGACATCACGCATGAGATTGCCCACCAATGCAATCGTATGCCTGTGCGCAAAGCACTCAGCATTGGATGCTGAAACGTGCGCACGCTACTGGACCGGAACTCGAGTGAGCGCGCCGAGTGACGCATTACGCTGGTCGCGATCGAAGTCGCGCTCTACAACATCGATATTGCGACCTTCAGTGAGGGCTCGTTAAGCAAGGCAAATTGCATGAAGCAAGTGCTGGCTAAGCGTTCTACTGAGTGGGCAAAGCCACCTCAGCACCACGTGAACATGGGGTCGGATTTGCAATATCCGGTCGCGTAAATGGCCACCTGGTGGGAGAACCAACAGGTATCAACGCACGACTGGTGACTGTTCGCCTACTACTCGGAAGAGGTAAGTTTGCCAATTTCATAAGCACGTAGGGTCTGAGGATGTGTTATTCCGATGACACGTTTGATCAATTCTACATGCAGTTATCCTCCGTGATGCGGTCTGTGCCGAAGAGCGACCGACTATTTCTGCCGGGTGATTTCAACGCGCGTGTTGGGCGTGATGCATCAACGTGGACAGATATTATCGGTGCGCATGGCATTGGTTCAGCGAATGCGACGGTGACAGGCTGCTCTCACTGTGTGCCACTCACGGCCTACCGAGCACGCACATTCGGTTTGCCCTGAGTGCTAGTGATATAGCAACTTGGACGCACCCTCGGAGTGGTCACGCTCACCTGCTCGACTATGTCATTGTACGTTAGCATGATATGCGTGAAGTACGCATGACACATGTACTGCGTAGAGCTGAGCGTCGCATTGATCACAACTTGGTGCGGAACAAACTGTACATATATTTTCGTAAATCTATGTATTGCACTCCCGCCGTGAATCGGCGTAAATTTAACATTCTCTCCCTCGGTACTGTGGCGAAACGTACTGAGCTGGAGAAGGCGATGGCTGCACGACTATGTGATGTGGACTGCATGACCACAGTGGGCGACCTGTGGCACCACATTCGCGACCAGGTGACAGCTGCTGCGGAGGAGACCATCTGGCGCGCAAACTGTAAGTGGCCTGATTGGTTTGATGAGAACAATGCGACGATTGGCGCATTGGTGTCGGAGGAATACCGCATTTGCAGCACATGTGGCCGACCCCAGTTACTTGGGGAAGAAGAGTCAGTTTCGCAAACTTCAACGGCGACTGACCCAAAACCAGCTTCGCATAAAAAAGGCATGGTGGACGGAGAAGGCGAAACAGATGGAATGCCA